ACATTTTTCAAAAAGTATGTTTTCATATTTTTAATACACCCACGTTTTTAAAATACTACCGCGTGTGATCGCAACGGGAGCGCGTTTCGTGAGAGTTTCATATAAACATTTGAGGTAACATTAAAATGTTTTCTTACATACTTCATACGAAGTGTACACGACTTGACTTATAAGGCTGCGACGTTTTGTAACACTTTTCACACAAACGCGACGAGCATTCTTCTACGAAAGGATCTACTTGAGTTTTTTCACTTTGCCATTACACAAATGATAGTCACAAATAAACTAGCAATAATATTAACCAGCGCGGCATACATACCTCAAACGTTAATAAGCCGTGTTGACATTTGTGTATGTGAAGATTAAACATTCTGAAGCCCAACGCTTTAGTGCGTTTGCTAAAGCTATCTCTAAACCGCGCCTTGGAACCAAAAGAGTCAACAAGTCACATTATGTTTTGAAGTGTCGTTATAACACTAACGACTTTTGTTAGAACTACATTTATGGAAATATCCGGTACGCAATATATGCACATGTAATGTTACATAAGTGAAACGAATTATGGGATATTTGATTATTACACTACGGTGAATATCGAATGCTAAGAAAAAAAAATACTACTTAAATACGACAAAATCTGTAATACGAGTGCAAATACCACATTTGGCGCTGTAGATTTTTGCTAATGGCACTTTCGATGGCACCACTTGAGCCCAGATGGATCGCTTGCATTAATAGATAAGAATAAAAGCGTCATTTGTTTTGAATTAAACTTTGCAGTAAATCAAATTTATTAGGTACACAAAAGTTATTAAAATTGGTTCGAGCATTACACACCAAATCGTCACTTGAAATTGAATTAACAAACCTTTTCAAATATGAAACAGAAAACCGAGAACTCACTCAAGGGTATTCATTACAAAACACAGTATACAATTTTTTTTACGCAGAAGTAACTCATTACTGTCACGAAAAAAACAATAAATTCTCACTTGTTTACTGTATGGAATTTAATGGCGCTTCGATAATGATTTGGTCTCCATCGAAAGGACCCATTGTTTATACAGGTCGATACTTTTCGAGTAATAGCAGAGCTGTCAGCATTCAAGTGGCAATAAATTATAAACTTAACCTTGGCCGTGCTTGTTTTGTTAGCCGTCACGGTGAAACGCACATGTTCATCGTGGGAACGCTATTTAATAAAATTGTAGATTTAAAGTTTTCTTCTTCTACACTAAAACATGTAAACAACTGTCAGCAACCATTTGGTATTAGGTCAGTTTACCGATATGTTTACAATCAAGTCAGTAATTGGGTATCAGCTAAGAATTTCATTAATAAAAACAACGAAATACATTTTAAAGTATTTGGATAAATGCGCAGCGTGTATTCAAACTCAGATAATTGAAATAGTGACTTCAATACACGACGATAAGCATCCAATTTGGAATCAATCACTCCAATGATTTCTGTCATTCACTCGATTGTCGATCAAATTTTGTATCAAAATGAGATTACCCGGAATGATAATGAACTAATAATGGTGATTAAGCTCGAACTGAACGTGAAACGCGCCTGCTCTATCTAGTTTGAGTGATTTTAGCGCTTCCAAATCAATTATATGGGCTGCTAATTAACTTAGTAGTCAATATATTTTGGAATACTTGTGCTTGGATTATTATTGCACAATCAAAGTTTTTTTAAACCAATGACCTTCTATCTCATTATACCCTAGATGTCACGCATCATATGATCGTCTACCACAAGGGCTCCCAAACTTATTTCATCTACTGCCCACTTTGAGAATAAATTATTTTGTAGCGCCCCCATTTTTTCACCTACTTAAAAACTGCTATAGCGAGAGCTCAGTCGGTGTCTAAGAGTTCTCCTAGATGAAATTACAAATCGCCTCACAAGCCTCTAAACAACGCCCCCATTTTTTCTGGGTCTCTTACCGCCCCCCTTTAGGCCTGCAGCGCCCACAAGGGGGCGTTATCGCCCACTTTGAGAAAGGCTGGTCTACCATAATGCATAATTTTACTGGTCTTGGGATAACACAATATTTACGTTATTATGAACAGGTAATTTCCTTTTGCAACAGTTCCACGTCGTAAAATCACATCCGTTATCATTACGGTATTTAAAGCTTTATTATTATTTCCTTAATCCGTTTATTTACAACGTGTATCTTGTATATCTTATCTGAGCTTGTTGATTTTAGACACGAATTTACATCACATTAGTTAAATTGAAGAATAAAAAAAAACCAAATACAGTTTTAAGCTTCATAAATTAATTGTAGTAATTTAAAGAACTTTCTATAAAAAATATATCTTTCTGAGTAAATTTTGTATTTTTGTATGGAATCAAATTTGTCTCCTAACACTTTCGATATTTACAAATTAAAATGAAACCTCAAACAATCGTTTTGCACTATGGGGTCCCATCGTACTAATCCCTAAAGGAACTTGTCAAGAGATCTAAGTCCTGCTAAACTAATTTAAACTTGACAATAGCTAAATCAGGGTCAGTTGCAGCTTCGTAAACAAATACTGCGACCATAAACTATTTCTTATTGTTATAGGGTTAAGGCTGAAAATTATACTAGTTTTGGTTGTCACGAATATTTGTTTTCAATCAGTGGTATCAATAATTGGATCAATGAACGTACTGTCAGTTTTAATTGAGACATCCTTCCTATCAATATGTAAATTGACAACGTTAAATAATGTTTGGTGAATAGGATTTCTACTTCCATGTAATTGTGTTTTGACATTGTTTTTAAAACAGTGGCTGTTTCGATTCAGCAGTATATAATAGCCACGCCATTATGTATTTTACATTTGACCTAATTCATTCATCACATTCGTCCTAACTCTTTTTTATCACTATACTTATAATCCTGCACATCCAGCTCTGTTAAATATTACACATCATTATAATTATTCACACTTAACCAAAAACTCATAATTTTTTATCAAAAGTATATGAAAATTAACATATTTGAGATAATCATTTCTGGATATACAGTAACAGTTTTTTGTCGATTTTTTCGGCTTAATATGTTGTTTCTTAATATCTTCCTCTTGAACTGACTTGAACTCATGTGTATGTTTAATGCAAATATTTATTGGGTGAAGTTTTCTTTCCTAGCTCAGTTAATCCCAGTGTCAGAGCACTTGTTGACGGAGTTGATGATCATCCAAATAAATATTATAATGTGTTTACGCTTACTCGAGGCTCGAGAATGTCACGGTTGAGTGTCTGTTTGTTTGTTTAGCTATATAACTATGAGAAAATTGTTAGAAGATTGTGGGGCTGGTTTTAATCAAGATAATCAGAAGAACATCAAAAAATTTAGGATTTTTTCTATCTCTGATTTAGAGAAAAATTAAATCAGTCCGTATATCATCCATAATAATATACATGTGCAGTTTTTTTTATTGCCTAGACTGAAGTGAATGAGTCCCGGTCCTGCTGGTGTTAAGTGGTTCTCGGAACTCATAGACATTACAATATGAATGTCACCACCCACCTTGAGACATGTGCGTCTCAATTGTCTACTAATTCCGCAGTTACAATTTTTAAGGATTTTATTTTAGTACGCGATGTTATTCCTTCCCCGTGAAAGTTATTTGTGAGTAAGTGTTACATATTTATTTAATTAGAAAAATTGGTATCTGCCTGCGGTATTTTCACATCGGTAGAGTCAGTCGCATTGATAGAATATCTCAGTATCACAAAGAGTACACCATGCAGCTTATTCATTAGGCAACAACGTCGAAATTACTCTTAAGCTATGCAGCGAGATATCATAGAAAATTAACAAAATTTAAATTATAAATAAATTATTTTTATTTTCTAATAGTAAATGGATTTCCATATTTAATAGTTGCGAACAAGTACCTAATACCAAATATATTTAACAATGATAATTCGGACTGGAAAATTAAATCATACTAGGATCCAATCAGTAGTCAAATGCACTAACCACAACTCCATCGGGGAGATACATATTACGTATTTCTCAAAGTAATTAGCAGTGGTGTTAGAGGTTTTTTGATTGCTACAGCAACCAAAAAACCTACAAACAAAGACAAAGTCTACAGACTAGCTTTACGTTTACTTAAAACTTGAACCCAAAGATGACTAATTATCGGCCCCACCTTAAGACTCCATTAAAAGTGACTCTCAATGTGATAGCTGTGATTTTCAATTGAAATATTTTGATAACTTTACGGTAGAAAGAGGCAAGAGAGTTGATTGATTAAATTTATGATCCATTGCAGTAATCATTTGTTTTAAAGAGTTAAAATAGACAAATCTTAAAATAACATCACCCTACAAAATGTAAGCGAATACAATTTAAAATCTGACAATACATCCAAATCCAATAACCAAAATATGTATAGAAATATATTGTGGACGGATGAATACGTCCAAAAATAGTCTAACAAATTAAACAGTAAGATACGGAGTGTGGGTCCGGCTGTACCCATTATTCAATAAAGGTCAAGGGTTTTATGAAATTCGAACGACGAACGAACAGTAACTAAATTACATGGACCCTTAAAGGTATAAACCTAACGAATTCTCTCTATTTACAAATATACCGTTTTCTACTTTATTAGGAAGGTTCAGCGAGAATTTGTGCGTTGGAATTTAATTAATATTATATTAATTAGCGAATATTTCTTGGTAATCTAAATAGATAAATCCCAGATATTTGTAGTCCAGAATGTAATTTTATATTGCATACATATGATTATCATATTATAAGAATCGATGCGTCATAAATGAAGATCAACAGAATAAAAACCTCATCATAAGCGGGAATACAAAAAAATACAACAAAAATAGCGCGTAAAGTTACATAAAACAAAAAAATTAATAAAACCAAAAAGAATGACTGAATCTATGGGTATATGAGATTAAATTTATGCAAGGGATTTTTTGGTAAATACTGGGCGAATATTAACTACTTCATTTCTTATTTCCAGATTTCAACGAAGACAGTTCACTGTGAAATGAGAATCATAAGATTAAGCCTCTAAGCTGAAAATGTGGCAGTGATTCAGTTATGGATTCCTTGGCTCTTGTGACGTCACTGCTTGGACTCATATTTTTTTTGGGTAAGTTCTAAATTAATTTCTGTTTTTATGAAACCAGCGAGTTGCTTTTACATAATAAATGCTATAAAGATAACTTTTTAATTTAAAATTATATTTTAAAGCACATCAAGTGTTATAAAGTAAATATTTAATAACACACACAAGATATTTTCGCATTTGACTTTAGATATAAAATTTATCTGACATTCTGAATCTCGCTTTCTCTTAAAGGAAGTTTATTTATTAGTCAAATAGAAATAAAATAAAAGAGAGAAGTGAAGTCAAGGTTGAACCAGCACTAATAGCTTGGCATTCGCCCTCCCATGGGGTTGCCACCCCCGCACTATTTGATATTTAGTGCCTTGCGGTACCATCTTAGATTTGTGGCAACACTTAGCGACGAAAATAACCGTGTCACTCCCACGGAACAGCTTTTATTTATCACTGACAGCCCAAATTTGTTACCATTTAGGCGAAAAATGAAATATAAGTATTTTATGTGTTTTAGGCTTAGTAACGCAAGTTGCTTGCCTCAGAATTTACATCTTTATTCCCTGGCTAATATCTCCCCATGCAATTTAATTTCTTGTTAGGCTTAAAGCACTATTTTAGAAGCATATTAATTTTGAAACTATACTCAACATATTAACTTTAATTAATTGCGCGACTTAGATATGATTTTTTTATATAATGTTTTGGTAAGCATAAATCTAAATGGATAAAAAAAAAACTTAAAAACAATTAAATTAAATTTCGTGCAAGAACTTAAGATAAGGTAAAAAGAAGGAAAAAAAACCGCATCTTCTAAATAAACACGGGATAACGACACTACTGGGATTCAACAACACAACGGAACTGTAACTTATCGGCTAATCCAATTAAGTTAACAAAACACACATGCGTACCAGACCCACATCTGTTTATCGCATATATTCTACAATCAGTAGTGTATAAAAAATCTGTCCTCCGTATCATTCAGTCCCAGTCCAATGTAGTCGGAGTACGTTAATAAATTCTTTGTTGTAAAAAAAAAAATGTTTAGCACCCCTGACTATCAAAGCGTAAAGAAGTAAAGCTAATGTTAAACGACGCCCATCTTTTGTCTGAATGTGTGATGGATGCTGCGTAAAATTCAGTGAATATCTGTTTATAGTATAAACGGATAATAATTGAATTTGGAATACTAAATTGACAAGTTTAGATTATACTATATATTATAACGTCGAATTCCCATATTTATTTATGTTTTGTCTTTGTTTTTTAAATTGGTATAACAGATTCTATGAAAATGTTCTAGAATTTTTTAAATGATGTTCAATTGTAAAGGATTACGGATTGGCATCATTGTTGGACAAGTAAGACAGCTGCTCTAACCCAAATATAGAATATTTTTGCCAAATCTTCTCCGTTTTCAAACGGAGCATGTGAACAGTACTTAGTTCTTTCGTACTATCTTGGCATGATCCAGCGAAATTTGCCGGGTCTAGGGGGTGGGTACCTTTTACATTTATTACGTAGGTGAGTGAATGGATTTAGTTGTTGTAATTGTGTTCACGGGGATAGGAGCATGACTGTACCATACTATAAATAAGCCAGACAGTAGTAGCTCGGGCCCTACTGGTTGAATATTACAGTATGTTGGTATAAAGATCAGGGAACGCTGTTGCCCAACCTCTGGTTAGTCACTTACTCGCTTTTTACGACATCCACGGGCAGAAATAGGCTGGAGCCGTTCAGGTTGACACCGCACAGAAAAACCTATGAATGGTATATTAGAATTTTTTGTTTTTTTTTGTTGGAGATTTTTTTTATTGCTAGATGGGTGGACGAGCTCACAGCCCACCTGATCTTAAGTGGTTACTGGAGCCCATAGACATCCACAACGTAAATGCGCCACCCACCTTGAGATATCAGTTCTAAGGTCTCAAGTTTAGTTACAACGGCTGCCCCACCCTTCAAACAGAAACGCATTACTGCTTTACGGTTAAAATAGGCAGGGTGGTGGTACCCACCCGCGCGGACTCACAAGAGGTCCTACCACCAGTATAATATATAATATTATATAAATATATATAAAATAATGCGTCCATATGGATTGAAATCACGTGTATTTTTCCTCTAGTTGATACTTCATCTATTATGCCTTGTATTGGACACCAGCATTCACGATTGCAGTGCTCATGAATTTTGCATATACATATATAGCTTCTACCCAATAAAAAGAATAAAAAGAAACGGAACTCATAATTGGGGTCACGTTACTAATAAATTAATGAAAAGCATATACCTAATTTGCGTTCGAAACTGTTTTCATGTCTAACAGAATATGCTAATAAAAGAGGAATCCGCCCGGCTACGGTGGTTAGGTGAAATACGACAAAAATAAACAGATTCAATCTTCCCGTTCTCACAAAGGGTCTAACTTATTTTACAGCGGGTCATTGTGTTGTATTCAATTGAAGAATGGCCGCCATCTAAAAACGTTAAAATTTTGACTTTTATGAATATTACCGCTTGTGACCTCTATAAAAGTTTACGTCTACGCATGAATATCAAACTGTGTGTATTGGTACATGAATTTGACAACGGAAATTACAAATTATGATTTGACAAAGAAATACTATTGTTATCGAGTATATTTTATTCGTTTGAATATTTTATTTATTTATTTATATTTTAATTTGTTTACCGGTAGTAGGACGTCTGGTGAGTTTACTGAGGTAGGTACCGCCGCCCTACCTGTATCTGCCGTGAAGTGGTAATGCGTTTCAGTTTGAAAAGTGGGGCGGCCGTTGTACTATACTGAGATCTCAGAACTCATATCTCAAGGTGGGTGGCGGCATTTACGTTGTAGATGTCTATGGGCTCCGGTAACTACTTAACACCAGGTGGGCTGTGAGCTAGTCCACCCATCTATGCAATCAAAAAAAAATCAGTTTCAATTTATACCTCGGTAGGATTTTTATTTATCCCGAACTCCAGCGCGTAAAATTTTTTTTTTTAATTAGTTGTCTAATTGAAGAATCGTTTATATGATCAATGTAGAGCAATAAAGATGTAAAGATGTTTTTTTTATATATTTCAGACGTATAAATTTAGGTATATATAGGACTCGATCAAACCTAGGTCGAATTGAAGAAACATATTTTTATAAATTCCCCGATTTTTCATACCAATTATAACTAGATGATGACTTGATAACGCCATCTTGTCTTTAAAGTGGTTAGTTGCCCTCAATTAAAAAAAATAGTATTATTATTCGCCAATAGATGTCGGCAAGAGTTGATTATTGAAAACACGAATAAAACAACATTTTCTGAAAATAAATCGTAGCTAGATCGATTTATCGCCCCCGAAATCCCCTGTATACTAAATTTTATGAAAATCGTTGGAGCCGTTTCCGAGATTCAGATTATATACATATATATTAATATACAAGAATTGCTCGTTTAAAGGTATGAGATGTAAGAGTGAAATGTAAATTTCATCCAAAAAAGATTTTTGCGAAATGACTCAACGAACAACACATTACATAATTAATAAACCAACAGCTAAAAAAAATAAGTAAATTGATACGGAATATAACGAAGCTTAAAGACAAAATAAACTAATAGAAAATGATAATAATATATAGTACTAGCGACCCGCCCTCGCTTCGCTTCGGAAACATTAAAACACAAATGAAACCAAAAAAAAAAAAATTAAAAAAGAATTAAAAAAAGTAGCCTATGTTCATCAGGGACAATGTCGGCTTCTAATGGAAAAAGAATTTTTCAAATCGGTCCAGTAGTTTCGGAGCCTATTCGAAACAAACAAACAAACAAATCTTTCCTCTTTATAATATTATAGTATAGATATAGATGAAATGACAACGAAACATATGTATAATATATTTACGTTTTCCAAGATTTTATTTGTACGCTGTAGTCATAATTAAGATTTTTTTTTACGATTGTAAATTGCTTTGTTTTTCCGTGCATTTTAAAATCGATAAAATTGTCGGCGCGTATCTTTGAAAATTTTAATCCTGCTATATAGATGTCACTTTATCAACTGTGTTATCGAAAAGTGCGATCGGCAAAACACTTTTTGTACCGACTTCCTCAAAGCTACGATCAGATAGCCAGTGTTTTGCAAACGAACTGGTTTTTTACTTGTCTCGTTCGAGGTAGCCTTTGTGAGATATATTTATCTTAATAATGAACACAAAAAAGCGAGTTAACCAGCTACCGATTTTGAATCTCGAAATTTATTAGAACGCCTTTTTTGTTAGACAAAAAGGTCATAAATTCTGGTTGAAAGAATAGTCACACCACAACAAAAAAAAAACTTTTACTTCATATATCAAGATGGCGGCCATCGATAGTGGCACTCCTTTGTTATGCCTATGGGCTCGAGTAACTTACTATCAAGTGAGATGTCTAATGCAGCAAAACAGAAGTCAATTTACGGATAATTAACCAAAAAGACGATTCTCCGAATAATTCATTTGCATTGCAATGTAATTGTGATAACATTATTCTATAATATAAATTCACTTCTATCATACATTCACTTTACGAAGCTATATTATGAGTTTTACTAATTGCGCATTTGTTGAAGATTACTTCAAATGCACAGCTCCAACTGACAAGCTAACGTTTATTTTCTATTCGAAAGTGGGCAGTCGAGACTCCGTATCGTAAATTAATGTACAATATGTCTTCTTCGGGCAACATCGCAATTTGTTATTTTATCTGCCCACGCGCGGGTCTAACAACAAACTGGAGAGAGAAGCGTCGCAACTGTCGGCGACGCATTTCCGTAAACTTTGTCACAGTAACGGCTACAATACTAAACCGAACAAACTTCAATCGTAAATCACAAGTTTGCGTCTTAAAGCGACGCGATAATGTTGAATATTCGGTGAGCGTAATTTTATTAGCGACACAAAATAATTTGCCGTTCCAATAAATGTGTGTCACCGATGTTGCCCTCGCCCTAGGCAGGTAAGTCGGACCCTATGAAAGATGACACTATATAAACAATTTGTCTCCGCGTGCATTAGAACGCGTTACAAGACAAACATTGTAACTCACGAAACTCATATTAAGCTAATCCGTCGTTCCGTCGAAGCCGAGCGGCTAATTCTTAGCACATGTGAACATTGTTTTTTGCATCGTAAAACGTAAGTGTTATTTCATTAGCCGTAGCATTTCTCGAATTTTGTTGCTCGTGTCATTCGGGACACTCGTTCACGGAATATCTGTTTCACGTGTGCATGTGAGAATAGTTTACAACGTTCTAATTTAATGATGTTCTTTATATCGTGCACTTTTTTTTTATTACTTAGATGGTTAGACGAGCTCACAGCCCACGTCGTGTTAAGCGGTTACTGGAGCCTATAGACATTTACAACGTAAATGCGTCACCCACCTTGAGATATAAGTTCTAAGATCTCAGTATAGTTACAACGGCTGCCCTACCCTTCAGACCGAAACGCATTACTGCTTCACGGCAGAAATAGGCAGGGCGGTGGTACCTACCCGCGCGGACTCGCAAGAGGTCCTTCCACCAGTAAACAACAGCACACATAGCACACAACAATATTATAGTGCGATGTCATTTATAAGCATGTCAGAAATGATTACGGTGATTACCTCAATTAGGGCACAAATTACGCAACTCGACGACGCTGCGGCGCTGGTGCGCAATAAAGGCTCTATCTCAAATTGCAATTAGGGTCCTAAAATTGAACACGTGTTTGAAATTCGAAAAATCATGATTACCTCCTAAGGGAGCCAATCACAGCCATTAGAATTAGATATTCCAAGTTCAAACGGCTATCATGTTACTTGGGGTGACATTTGTGAGCATTCGATAGCTATGAGCCTCTCAAATGTTCGTTGAGTGTGTTAAATTTGATGTGAAATATGAATTGTTAAGTTGCGTAATCGATTTCTTTCATCTGAACAATTCAAATCCTATCAAATTATGTAAAAAGTTAAACTGGTTACGTATACCACACATCAGCCTTGCTTTAGAATGGTTTTTGTGTTTTCTATCCGATTTTTAGTTCAGTTTATTTTTTATTTACACAAAAAAGATACCAGCATATGATAGCTATCGATTTCAGATCAACAAAAAAAGAACACTAAGAGTGTTGTTCAAACGACTTCCAATATACAGCAGCGGACGGTCGCGTGGCCGACTGTTCAAATGTGAAAACCGTGTCTCCATGACTTTTTTTTATTTATTTTTTCTAGCGCCGCGTGTCAACATGTGCCTTTAGTATTATATAAATTAGCGAGGGGACCAGGCACCCTTGCGATTTTTTTAACAAAGATATTTTTAACAATAGAGCGTAACTACTAGTGTGTAGTTGAAAAATCATTCCCTCTCTTAGTCGGTAGATCTATTACGTTCTAAATAATTAAGACAAAATGTTAGTGTAAGCATAAATCATCAAGCTGTTATTTACTAGTACATATTACATATTAGGTATATAATATTCATAAATTGTAAAAAATTGTGGTACCTAGCAATTAAAAATCAAAGAGTTTCTTTTTATTAAACTTTAATTAATAATTCGCCTAGATACGTAATGTACGTGACCGGTGGTCTTAAGAGAATGCGATTTAGATCCTCATGTTAAGGTTTAGATTATATAGTAAACTAAAACAGGCATTGTCCTACCCTCGGTCTCACGGAACGCACTTTCTAGATGACATTAGTATAATAATATATAGTTAAAATATGTGTATTAATGTATTTTACGTGTTAAATATGTGCTGTGAAACCTGGAAAAGAAAATAGGCTACTAGTCATCCTAAAGCTGAGTACGAGTCTTCGCCCCAGAGATATAAAGTTCAGTTCACATGGACGAACCGAGCGAAGGCTAGCCTAGTTTAAAATTGTATACAACTGGAACTGTCAGAATTCTAAAACTAATAATTCCATACGATGCATCGATCGGTTTCAAACACGACTACGTAGCAGTAAACCCGATTTTATGTGCGATAAACTACCTCATCCAGACAAAGCATAAACAATATTTTATGTCCACACAATCTGCAGAATCTTATTTTTATCCATTTACGTCTCGACGATATCGGTGTTGCCGTATCGCAGATATCTGTGACTTTATGACTTTGACAGTTAATGTATTGCCAGCGCACATGACGCCGCTTGCTTTTATATTTCGCTCAGTTAACGTCCCTATCTATGAATCATTCATTTAGTAACTTTTTCTCGAGATTTTTTTTTTGGGACTTCTCGCTAAATTTGCTTTACATGATTTTGATTAAGCTTACTTGGTGTTAAGTGAATATAGAGGATGTGAAGTCGAATTCTTTTGTGTATTACGGTTTTTTCACCCTTCAAATCAGAGTGAATGACTACTTTGCAGCAGGAATAGGTAAGTAGGTAGACTATAGCATACGGCCCGCCTGATGGCGAGTGTTTACTGTAGTCCATGGACTTCAGCAACACCAGAGGCAGAGTCAAGGCGCTGCCTACCGTAAGGTACTCTCCACAAGCCTCGTTTGATGAAAGACATGCGCTCGGGAAACACCATTTATGTTGTGATTTCAATGGGCTCCGATAACCACTTAATACCAGGTGGGTCAGGATCTTCATCACCTATATACGTAAAAAATATATACAAAAAAAATGATTTCCGTGATGACCCACCGTACCCTCTACAATCAATAATGGGTATCATTTTCACTTCTGTAACATGATGTTATTTATTCGTCATGAAGAATATGGATTTCCTTACAAAAAAATTAACTTGCCAAATGTCATAATCGCATCACTCAATATGAGGACTAAGATAAGAAGCGTCTTATTCATTAAGCCACAAAGATTTACAATTCGAAATGTTGATTTGGGAAAAATAATAAAATCTGTTTCGACTTCAAACTATTATTTAAATATTACAACAGTGATTTCACAATTGAGGAAAACGTTAAACAAATTAAACTTAAGTAAAATAATAGTCACCAAAATTAATAATATCAAAAAGGGTCTTAATGGAAAAAAATCGAACGATAGCAAATCGAATGGAGATTCAATTATAGATTAGCCCTTGTACCGTACCGCATTCAAACTTCGTATACGTGAATAAATAAATACAATTACAAAGTACAAAGAGAGTAATCCCCATTGATTTTGTATCCAAAAATACAGCCTTCTCTCAGGAATCGAATCGCGAAACAACCGATCCGCCTAAAAACGGACACCGAATCAAAAGTTTTTTCCATCATCGATTTTTACTTGGCAACAATAATAGTGAGGCACAACAATAGACGTACATCAATTCAAGTGTCAAAAACTAACATCTGCGCGTTCGTTGTGTGCATTAAAATATTAGGGTACCAAACTTCCCAGCAGCCCAACCTTGGGGGAGTCCATGCTTCGGCAAGCCTGTGTTTATAGCTCATTATTGTTGTGCTACGCTTTAGAGTAGCTGCAAATGACATACTCCACCTATTATTAAAGTAAGCCGAAGCACTGAAAAGGCTTTTGTTACGTAAATTAAAATAAAGGCCCTGGAATCGCAATAGGCGGGATCGTGATAAACTTATGTTGCCTTTCGGTTATATGGGCGACCCGACACGCTAACTGCAATGTGTACTTAAGTCAAAATTACGTGGAAATACAGAGCAGGGACGATGTTTTTTCGTTAAATGAACAGATTAATTGACTTCAATCGCTGCCCGTTATAACAACGGACATTATGTAGTGACTTCACGCTAGAAATTAGTAAGATGGTGGTTTTCTGAAGAATGATCAAACAGCCATGATAAACAATTCATGGATCCTATGATCAAATTTGAATATTCTTACTGGTGGTAGGACCTCTCGTGGGTCCGCACGGGTAAGTACCACCAACCTGCCTATTTCTGCCGTGAAGCAATAATGCGTTTCAGTTTGAAGGGTTGGGCAGCCGTTGTAAATATACTGAGACCTTAGACCTTATCTCAAGACCTTAGACCTTACCTTATATCAAGGTGGGTGGCGCATTTACGTTGTAGATGTCCATGGGCTCCAGTAACCACTTAATATCAGGTGGACTGTGAGCTATTTCACCCATCTAAGCAATAAAAAAAATTAAAAAAAGTTTATCAAAGTAACGCATTCTTGACAGGTTCTGTTGAGGGCGGAATGAGCGATGACTACGTCACCAGCGGGGAGGCTCCTTACATAATTGAACAACCACTGGACGTAACGGTTGCTAGACATCAGCCAGCAACTCTGAACTGTCGTGCTGGTGGATCTCCCTCTCCGGCTATAAGATGGTACAAAGGTGGTGTTTTGGTAGTCTCTGATACTCATAGAAGCATACTACCAGCTGGAGGACTTTTCTTCTTACGGGCCACGCATGGACGAGTACACTCGGACGCTGGTGTTTACTGGTGTGAGGCGACAAATTCCTATGGAACGGCAAGGAGCAGAAATGCGACTCTACACGTTGCCGGTAAGAGTTAAAAGTTTCAGCACACGAATTGCTTAAATTTGTTTCGTCATCAAGGCTGTGTACTCATTTTAATACTATTTTATTATTTTCATTTAGTTCTTCGGGAAGAATTTAGACTTGAGCCGGAATCAAAGCAGTCAGCGCAAGGAGACACCGTAGTTCTTGAATGTTTACCGCCAAGGGGCTCTCCGGAACCTAACGTGTATTGGAAAAAGAACGGTCAAACTTTGCTCTTTGATGGTGATTCTAGGTAATTATAGATTTCAATAGAGCTTATCGATTATTATAATCAATTTTAGAACCAATGATACCAACAGACTCGGCTATAAGTAAAGTTTCATGATAGGTAGGTATGTTTGGTAAACTCTTTGTTGGATAAAATGTAGTTTGAAGTGAATTCGAAATCTTTGAGTGATACTAGAAATTAAGCGGGATGGTCGAAACCTGATATTCTTGTGAGTAACTCAAATAGTCGTTTGATATTGGATATTATTATCTTGTAAGGCGTTTAAGTTTATCGCTCCACGATTTGATGAGCAATCATGTTTGTTAATTCACGTAGTGTATTAACGACTGTGCGCACCTCGTTTTATGATCTTGTGACTTTGTCGTGGCCGTTTTAAAGTTCTCCGTGTGATTACGTTTTACACTGAATTTGATGCGCTCATTAATGACGTTTAACATTTATTGCAGTATCATTATTTGGATCACTGCTTTGATTTCTTTAATAGAATACTGAACGCCGTCGATTAGCTGGTTTGTTGCCAATTTATTTAACTACATTCGACGCCTATGAATTTTTATGAGCTTCAGTTTACATCTCGGTGAAGCGTGTTGTTACGTATGGTGGAGCAAAAAAATAATTAACATCCGTGGGGAGGGTACATCAAAGTTATAAAGAAAGGGGATATTTTGAAGAGCTCAACAAGCAATCAAGTAAAATCTCAATAGTTCTGACTCAACGGACCCCTTATTAAATGGTGATTTCACATTGAATAATTCCGCCCAACTCTTCAATGAGTTTTTTGATGAGAATCAATCACGAGACAGCGTAATTGTTTTATTTCAATGTTTACAATAAACAAATTGTTTCATAGTTAATTATTGTGACTTCAATACAGAATGCATTTGGTGGACGGTGGAAACTTAGTAATACAAGATGCCAGACAAACTGACGCCGGCAGATATCAATGTATCGCAAGGAATGCGGCAGGTACCAGGGAATCGGCCATAGCTACACTTAAAATACATAGTGAGTATCATATATGCTTGAAACTGTGAAGTCTAATTAGTAGTAACATTGTGAGATGTATTTTTGCAAATGGTTTGCAAAAATATTTTTTCTAATCTTATTTAATTATATAATTTTACGTATCCTAGTTAAACCGTACTTGATCACGGGGCCTGAAGATGTTGTCGCGCAGACTGGTAGTAGCGTGACATTTCAATGTCGCGTTGGTGGAGATCCTCTTCCCGACGTACTCTGGCGACGATCAGCTGGAGGAGGCAATATGCCACTGGGCCGCGTTAAAGTCTTAGACGACGGAAGCCTTAGACTTGATAATGTCATCTTGGCCGACGAAGGAGAATACTCGTGCGAAGCCGAAAATTCCGTTGGTGCTGTCAGCGCCAGCGGATATCTTACAGTATACGGTAAGTTGTAGTTTGAACTGAACTTGAAACATTTGTAAAAGTACATCATTATAAAGTAACAATTTTTTTTTAATCTTGTTTTTTTTATATTCTACATTATTGTGTACTTGTGTTTGCTTAAATCGAGCTTCCTTAATAAAGTATAACATGTTTCAATTTAAAAAAAGGAAAGTAATAATTTGCTAAACTCAAACTCCAGTACATAACGATTGGTCGGTCTGATGCTGGTGTGCGCGTCACTTCGCACGTGCCGGCGGAAGATCAACGTCGCAACACCGATTGTTTCGTTACTGTTAGGTATTGCAGAGCCGGTAACCATTTTCAAGCCTCGTTATTTTTCTTATTTTTGTTTTTATTTTTTTGTATCTAATGTTATTCTTATTATTATTTTAATTTATTTAATTTTAGATCCACCATCGATAAATTTAAGCCCAAATTCTGTCAACGTGGAAAGTGGTAATGTTGCTACATTTACATGCACTGCAACCGGTCGTCCGGAACCTACAATGTTCTGGAGTGTTGAAGGAAATAGGACAATAATTTTCCCCGGTATATCGAGAGACAAATACCACGCTACGGCTGTCTTCGATGGAGTTACGGTACTTACAATCAACGATACTGACAAAAACGACAGTCGAAATACCATAGTTTGTTCGGCGGTTAACTATGCCGGCAGTTCGTTTGTCCGGGGGAAACTAACCGTGACGTCAGACGATGACCGCCCACCGCCAATCATAACAAACGGGCCCTCTAACCAAACTTTACCTATAAAATCGATGGCAGTTTTCCCCTGCACAGCGATCGGTACACCTGAACCAATCATAGCATGGTATTTCGAAGGGGAAGCATTAATACAAAATCATAGAAGGAATGTGACTAATGACGGAACTCTCGTATTGAAGGATTTAGATAAAAGCGATAGCGGCACCTATACTTGTGTTGCATCTTCTCGTCACGGCAAATACGTGTGGAGCGGGGCTTTATTAGTCGATAGCCCTATAAACCCGAACATTCATTTTTTCCGAGCAGCTGACGTATCATCTTTACCTGGTCCGCCGACAAAACCTATAACTCACAATGTTACAGATACTAGCGTAACATTATCTTGGAGTCAAAATAATAAAATTGGCTCCTCGTCCATACTTGGATATCAAGTGGAGGTATTTTCAAGGGAAACCCTCTCAGGGAATAATACGCCGAGGAATTCTCGAGGATGGGTCGTTATTGCGAGGCGGGTTCATCAAACTCATTACGTTGTGAAATCGCTTATTCCTGGAATCACCTACATGTTTATTGTAAGAACAGAAAATTCACATGGCCTGTCTGGTCCTAGTCTGGTTTCCGATTCGGTTACCGTCGGCGATGATTCGAATTCTTTGTGGGAAGGTACTGGAGTTTCTAACAGTACAGAGTACAGAAACAATATATTGACAGACCACATTGTGGAACTAATCGAAGCAACGCCAATAGATTCAAAAACGATTAAACTAATGTGGGAAATTTTAAATTTTTACTACTTGGAAGGTCTTTTTATATACTTCAGACCCCTTGATAATATAACGATCGAATACGAAATGAAAACTATTTTACATTCCAACGATGTCTCGGGGTTCGAAATCACGTCGTTGAGGAAGTACACGAAATACGAGTTTTTCCTCATACCTTTTTACAAAAAATTTGAAGGAAAACCCTCAAACTCAAGAGTTGCACAAACATTAGACGATGGTTAGTATGAATCAACTGATAATTGTTTTCATTGATATTAATTAACGCCTTGTAACAGTTGTGTATTAAACATCTTCGTTTTCAGTACCCGATGGTCCGCCAATAAATATAGAAATGTTTATTTTGAACACGACTACAGTACATCTGAAATGGTCACCACCAGAGCTTCAATTACAAAATGGTATAATCACTGGTTACAACGTTGTTGTAAATTGGTTGGATGTACCAGCAAATAAGTCTATGGTGGCAATCAACACTACCGTCTATCAAGCGACTAGCTTAATTATGACTAACTTAACTTCTGGCGTCAGTTACTCTGTCCAAATCGCAGCCGAAACTATAATAGGTTTAGGGCCATTCAGTCAAAAAGTTTATTTTAATATTGATTCTCGATCTGTTGGATTGGATCTTCTATCAAGGTAATTATCGAAAACTAAAATCAAACAAATTCCGAGATATAAATAAAATGTTTTATTAAATCCACACATATATAATTATCGATAAACACAAATTTATTACGCAGGTATCCGATGAATGGAGAAGTTTCTATAGTTGCTGGTGACTTTGTTATGGAAACGTGGTTTTACTTTTTAATTGGAGCGATTGTGTTGTTCAAAATAATTGTGATCGCAGGCATAATTTATGTACGAAAATATAACATATTCGCTAAAAAGTCTGCACTTCCGAACATTTATGGTGGGTAATTATTATAATTCAAATTAAATCCGATTTTTTTTCATAAAATAAAAATGTTAAGAATGTCAGCTGTTAATAGAATTTATACTTTGTAATAGAGTAAACGACAAGTCAACAGTTATTCAGCTTATCTCAAAATGTTAACTTTTTCGTGGATAAGCATTTAAAATTTCAAAATTAAAAACATTCCATGGGTGTGTGTGTAGGGTGGTGCAGGGCGCCGACGCTTGTTTGATGGAGGCTTTGCCATGCGACGGGAAGGGAGGGCGCTAGATTACTTTCGAGTTGAAAGGTAGCACGAGTCCTCTCTCCCGAGCGCAGTGGATCTCTTTCACTTTGCATTCACATTCGGGGCACAAAGGAATGATACAAATCCGAGAAATAAAGACCCAGTAAATTTAAATGTTTTCTGCTTTGTTTTCTCTAGGAGATTCGTTTGTTGACTCATCTAGTTACCGTTAAGCCAATTACTCGTAGCTTTCTTCGTTTTTCTTTCCGTTGATGCTTGTTAAGCCCTAAGTAAACGAGGTATTTTGAATTCCAATTATGAAATTGACAATTCATTAATTTCTATTGCACGGCATTTACATAATTTTTGATTATTGTGTATTTTAGATTCTAACGGAACAAGCTTAGTGACACAGATGAATATCAAGGCAGCTGTTTCACTGTCGCACCCGTTAACAAGTTGTTACAACAAAAATACGGTGACCAAGACTGAGTCGTTGCTCTGGATGGAAAATCAACCGGGCGTCTGTTTGTCCGGAAATCAAACATCGCAAAGTAAAGAAAAGACTAATTCTGAATACGATAAAGTGACTCATCAACTACCAGAGTATGCTGAAGTAACATCCGCTAGAGCCAATGAATGGAATACAAATAAGACAGCAACCTCTCCAGCTGCTTATGCTTCTGTGACTTTAGTAGCAAATACGAGACAATGTGTTAGTTCATTGGTAAGTAACAATTGAGTAGTAGTACAAAATTTTTGACAAAAAATATCCAAATTAAAATGACAATATCACCAATTTAGTCGAAATCAATTATAATATATGCATTATTAAGGATAACAACTACTAGTCAGATATTGATAAAATTTAGCACATAATAAGCACCAGTTTTCAAGAATCATCAAAATTCATCATTCATATAAAAAAGGTCTGAGGTAACAACACATAAAAAATACAGACAAAATGTGAACTTTGTCGTTTTTATGAAGTCGGTTCAAATGAACCTATTGTTCCTGAAGCTTAGTCTTTTAATGTGAATAATTTAATTTGGCTTTAATTTAACAGGGTTGGTTTCCTCCTGGTGGTAAAAATGTCGATACTTTCGACAATCGATATGGGGCAGATGAAGAGCTGTATCCTGCTAGCAATGGTGGCTATTACAATCGAAACGTTTACAGCGAAAAGTATTTCCAAGGACATCCAAACGTTTTGAAATTCTACGATCTACCTTCAATGGAGAAATCACAAAAAGCACAGTTGAGATACAATCAAAGCTTAGAAGAGCGGAAGGCGGATAAAAATTCGAAAGCGGATGTGACGCAATCGCTTATAGGACGAACATATGGAATTAGTTCTAGAAAAAATTCTGAATCTGAAACAACGTACCGAGCCTTTGGTGAATTTGAATCAGACGAAGAGTCCTATGATCATAATGGAGGTTACGATGAGTTGCAAGCAATGCAGTCACAAAGACAACGACCACAGCATCAGTACGAAAGGCCTAATTTTGACAACGATGGTACGAGGACATTAGCTCGTCTGACGTCGTTCAGACATGGGCAAGGAGTGCTTACCACGGTTTCAAAGTCGTCGCACCCACCGACACATCCACCACCCGCGCCCCATCCCCGGGTAGACTCCGTGACCCGGTAGTATCACGCTCCGCCGGTTTTCGGCGAACTGTGCCAAACGGACGTGTAGATTCAGAAGTTTCCTAATATTGTAGTGACTTTTCACGTATCGCAGTTCTTCCTCACGTTACACTTTTGAAGTTAAGTGTCGCGAACATTGTGGTGACGAGAAGTGATAAGTGTTTTTTTTTATTTTCGTGATTCTACTGGCCTGACTGATTGGAAGCAATGATATAATTTCGGCCTAAGTCTCTCTGTCTTTTTGTTTAATATTCATCTAAAATATTTCCTAGTCTTTTGTAAAAAGTGTAAATACTGTAAATATATTACAGTAGCATTAGGATTTGAATAATTGTCTTGAAAAGCGGTTACGTCATAAAACGAATCCATTCTGTTACTAAACGATCTATTGGAATTGATAACATTCAATTGATATGTCCGTCTGAATATCATTGAACGAATTTGTATTCTTAAAATATCATTAGGTTAAGTATTATTAAAACTAAATAAAAAAAATACCCTAAATAAAACGCTTAGCAATAACATTGAATTTATTGACACAGTAAACAAGTAGTGGAATAGATAATGTTTTCTTGCAATGGCTATCTCTGTCAAAATATAAATTCCTTTTTAGATTTTAATTTAATTTTAGTTTTATTAAAGTGCCATACGTAGTGTTTTTTCCGTAGTTAAATTATTAAGGTAACATTGGAGTTGTGAATGTATTTCAAATGAAGCTTTTACAAATCATAGAATATAATATAATCTACGTAAGATAATGTGATATGAGTTATTATATAACCACTTGTTATAATATCTCTGATTAGCACGACTTGTATAATTGCATATCAAATGTAGTTATGTATTAGTTAATTGAACTTTTATGTATAAGACTTGATCATTGGTTGACATCCCGAAGAAAGTAGTCAAGTGTTTGAAGTTGATATTTGATTACGAATAGTCTTAAACTATCTAAATTAGACCCATTATTATAAGTATGAGTATAACGAGTTCTTCCTAAGATTTTCACATTTAATGATTTTCTTTACTACTATATTTTCACATTTAAACAGTTTACCGTGGTGGTATCACGGTGCTTAAATGTGAAAATCGTGGTAAGAACTCCTTAAAGAATAGTCCGTGTAAAATCGATGTTTGATTGTTTTAAATTGATCGAAATTGGATTTGATTTTTTCGAAATCAGACCATTATAGCCGCAAATAATCTCGCGAACTGAGTGATGTCACGTTCATCCCATATTCAAGTATTACAAGTTCGAAATTCAGCACGATAATTTGTGATTGGCATTGATCACATACATCACGGTTAAGTTTTAATTGGGGTCTGCCAACAAAGAAGAAAATTTCAATTTCCACTAACGACTATTACTTGAATCAATATAACTACTTAAAAGAAAAAATATGTCTAATTGAAATATTAACTATCTCTGTTTATGTTTTCGCAGAGGGGGACTTAATTTGACAAGTGTTTGAAATTGTGATGAAATAAAAATAAGTTGCGTTGCTGAATGATATGTACTATGTCATTCAACATTTATAAAATCTCAATTTTAAGACAAAATATACGATAAGTGAGCCCACTTATCTAAATGTAAATAGGAAGCCTTTAATAAATCGCCTTCGTAAGTTTAACAGTGATCAATGAGTAGACTGAAATTCGTTTAAGAGTATATTCTATTAATTTACTTCTTCAATTTTATTTTTATTAATAATATATATAATTAAAGAATGTATTATTAAAATCGTGAAAACTATGGATAAAAAACATTTTGTTGGACAAGCAGCAAAAAAGCTGGCATAGCAACGGCGTGGCTATAGAGAATCGTAGTTTTGATACTTTATACCAAAGCTTATCATTTGTATTGAAAGATACTACGTATAAGATGCTATAAAGATACTATTACTACACAACCAAATGTAATTTTCATATATACACATAGCGCAGTTAGATTGCACGAAGCAGCCATTGTGGATAAAAAACTTCTTAAAAATCTGTCGAATGATTTTATTAAGAAGACACATTACCAACGATTTTTATACATAAATAGCTGTGTTTGGTTCTATTCTTCTAACAAATCTTATTCTGTCCACTGCGCCTCTGAAAAAGTGACTTTCTTTGTAAACTACACACTAAGGTGTATATAGCGATGTAATAACTTTCCAAGCTTTTACCGTGGATTTAAAAATTCCTTATCTATCATTTCTTATTCATTCATTAGCCAATATTCAATTTCGAAAGCTTCGTTACTTACTCATTCTGGTTTAATCTGGATTAATCGCTTTCATACAGAGCTTCCTAAACCTGATAGCTTAATCATGTGATTTCGATTCTCAGTTGGTTCCGGTAAATCCTAGTTTAGCCACTACAAGTTTCATAGCTCCGGTATTTGTGTTATTGCGAACACCAGGTAAACCTCTTAACTCGATATGGAACTTTAATTCATGTGCTCATATAGAGTAATATAAAACTAACATTTTTACTACCCAGTTAGGACATATTCTGTTAAGCGATGTTTACCAAACTCATTAGTGGTTTAAAACGGTAAAGTCCCTTGTATTGTGTAACCTACACAAGCAATGTGTTCCGTCTAATGTTTAAATTTTACTATTATATCGCTAAATATTTAAAATATTGTGATATATTAAAAAAGTGACGGTAATATCTAATTTCTCACGTCAGTAGTTAACCATTACTGAATAGATATTAAAAGTGAATAAAACTAATGTAATCATTCTGCGCCTTTTATTGATAGTCGTTTTTATGCAATTCTAATCATATACGATTTCTGTTTATTTCTACCCCTTTTCACCTATAAAAAATAATTAATTAGGTTCAGTTATTAGATATATTAAGAACCACTGGTTAACTTAATATTGTATTTAAATGACAATACGCACTGCAGTGGTATAGTAATTATATTATAATAAGATATTGCCGAGAAAGCTGTAAATTTTAATTTTATGCTCTTATTACAGCGGTCGATGTAATCAAAGTACATTGTAACAGTATTAAAAATATAATTTATTTAATTACATTATAGTGGAGACCAGTTTATGATTAAGGCTGCCTGCCACATTCGGGCGACAATGGCTTGACACACAATATCATACGTGTCAAATAATTATCTACTAAATTTATAGATTGTTAAAATGCTGTTTTTATACGTTGAGATCTTTTTATAGGTATTCAGTGTCATAATGTTAACAAATAAACTCTAGTAGTACTACTGAATTGAAAAAATAAACGAAATGATAACGCTTTAAAAGTTGTGTTTTGCGATATCCGATTTTGGATAAGTAAATTCGTAGTGAAACCATAGACAAACTATTTTGTCCTTTTGTGGCCTCATTGTTCAAAGATTTTTCGTATGGTTGCCGCTTTGGACACTGGCTAGACAGATGTTGCAGTGACGAGTGCTCATGGGCGGACGCGAAAGGACGCGAAATGACTTTGTACTGTCACTACCTAAATGTGTCTCGCTTAGAAAAACCTGTAAGCGATAAAGTATCTAAGACCGGCCTCTAATCATATTCTATAACCAATAAAACTGATTCATTTTGTGTTTGTCTTTGAATAAATATTTTTAATAAAATAATGTAAATCACAGATGCTATTGTTTTAATACCTTAAAAAAATGTTGTAGATAGACAGACTAGCACACAGCGTGCTTGATGTATAGTTATTACTGGAAACAATTTGAATACCGTTACCCTTCTTGAGACACCAGGTCGAAGTTTCAATTGTATTGTCAAACCTGCCCAGAGAACTTCGCAAACCTAAGAAAGTCATGACAAAGATAGCAGAGTTGAACTTATCCTAGAGCTAAGAAACGATACATTCTAAAAAATGATACCTTGAAATGTTCTGTGAACAGTAAATGTAGCAAGAATTAACTCTGCTCCGATGGCAAACTATACGATAAAAGAACACGGTAAGACGTCCCTTGCAAAATATGGGATTAATAACGGAAAAGATGAATGCCTTACCGAAACCAAAACATTTTATACGTTTCAAGATCAATTCAATCATCGAGATATAACAAAACTTCACATTAATACATATTCAACAATTTATTGCATTAAATAAAAGTAACAAGACCAAACAGTGAAAGAGTTGCAGAAAAAAATAACCCTCTGTCCAAAAAACAGTTCATTTAATTTGAAAATGCAACTTTCAATAATGGACAATAGAATAATAAGCAGCCGGTAATGAATGGAATTTAAATCACGTCAAACAAAAGTAGTATTGTCGACGTATTCAATTTACGAGCGATTCATAAACCGAATCTCGGGTCTGCAGTCACCGTAAGTATATTGTTGGGCGGTATTTAGTGGCTTGTGGGTCGTCGAGTCGCCTGTCTGTAGGCCAGTGATAACCGTCATACAAATGATATTAAAGCGTATGGTTATTTGATACCATCCTTCGTATTGTTAAATAGCGAATGAGCTTCAATCAGTTTCGAGCGATATAAGCGATATAAGCGAAAAATAACACCAGATTCCGTGAAGGCCAAAGCAAAACGAGTTATACAAGATAAATAAATAAATAAACTTCGAGCGTACAGTGCGCGCTATAAACTTTTTCGTAGTGAAGTAAACGTATGAAAACAAAAAGTTTTTTTTTTCTCATTCGATCCCGTTTTTCATATTTCTACAATAGCGCGACGTGCGGGGATCTGGTTCGCCGCGGGTATCGTTTTAATTTTCCGCCAGCGTGGAAATTTACACGGACCGAATGAACCATCTATTTTAATGAGCATTAAAAGTTAACTGATCAACCGCCTCACCGGAACTCGGCTGCGGAGAACGTGAACAAGTTAAAATGTAGGGCTTCGGAGTGAAGGTGAACAGTGTAGCGTGCCCATAAGATGAATTACAGGCTTCGTTTTGATATTTAAAATCACGTACGTAATGGTAAGGAACGGGTTGCGTGATATTGATAACTTGCCAATAACCGATCATCGAATCATGAATCAGTGTTTTTTGAAAGTACAGTATTGCGGAAATTTAGTCAAGACTTTTGACAGATTTATTAGCTCCAATGACAGGACTTAAAAGGGTTATCCCTCGATCAAAATTAATAAAATTTTAGGGATGAGTCAATAAGCTTTAAAACCAAAACGCTTTACGCCCGAAATGGTGATCGGAAAGCTGTCGATTTCAGGTAATGCTCCCCAGGCCGGGGTCGGCATCCGCTCAACGCTCGATGACGGATGTAATTCAATTAGATATTAATTGCTTGATTAAGTTGCGTAGACCATCGAAGGGTCTTGTTCCATAATCGAAATATGAGTTTGTCAGGTTAGGTGCGGTGTTTTTCGGAATCAATTACCGTGATTAAAATGTTTTAAGCCAATTAAAGGATATTGTGGGCGGAAAAGTTTTTGTGTAGAAAGAATATGTAAAATTACAAGACGCGTCGGTGTTATTATTAAAATTTAAAATAAACTATCTGGTCGTGTATAGAAAATTTTCAAGCGATTATCCTGGCATTATATGGAGTTAATTATATTTGTAATTATATTTGCCTACTAATCAAATTAATTCTTATTGAATCAAAATTTTAGTCAGTGGGTCACGATTCTGATCCAGTGCTAGATTCAG